TATCACCCCTGCACCGCTGACCCTCATTCCAAAAGAATGTGCTGGTTGGGCGACATAACAGGTTACCACTACTGTGTATTCCAAAAACATTGTGCGTCTTTCGGTATTAATTTATCTCAAACCCCAGCATTTTAAATTCTCAGAAACGATCATTGCGGGAAAATTGTGGGCCGGGACTAAGATTTTTGAACGATCGATGCGATAAAACGATAGTTCGAGGAACGATAGAAGCGGGAAAATGTAACATTATTTTATATGGGATGTATTCGGGACTGAACAAAACGGACGATGCATCCGGGAAAACGATAGTTCCGGGAACGATGGATAGAGGTTTCACTGTATTAATATCTCTGGCTTTGAAAGTCATACTCTAAGCTTCAAAAGTTGAAAATAAATAATATACACATGGGTCTCTTACTTGATAAATGTAATCTGAATCAGTCTTGAGAGATGAGAATGATTGCTGATGTGGGAGCGACACTGTGTCATCTTCCATATTGTCGTCCACTTGTGCTTTGTAGGAAAACATTATGCTTGGTTGAGATATACTGTAACACAAGAAATCTCAAGATCAGTTTTAAACCATGTCTATGCTCTCACAGAACCTCTAAAATCCATTAAAGACTGAGATACATAAAACAATCGCACTACTAGCTATTTTAATAACACTCTAGGAAAGGAATACACACCACAAGCACTTGAAACTAAGGTAAGAACAAAAGCACACAGCAAATTCAAATTTGACCACCAATTGTCAATGTTTCTCACAAACATCAATGTGGTGGACTGGTGTCAGTCTTATAAGTTTCTACATGTAGGAAAAGAGCACTTACAGAAGACAGTCTAATATGACAATGGTATGGTAATTTATTACCATACTATATCTAATTTATGGAGGATATTAAATAACAATAAACTTCTACTTGAAGCATTTTTTAAAATACTTAACAGATAAAGATTCGTATCTGCAACAAACATAGAGGCAACTGAAATGTGCAAAAACTAAAAAGATCACATATGGTAAGTACCGGGTCTACAATTTATGAGGTTGCGGTCGTGCTTGCATTGCGTGGTCGGCCGGCGCTCTGTTGATGTGGGCGGGAGTTGTGCGCGTTCTTCCGGTGGGTGACCGGCAAATCAGTTTCAGTGCCGCTAGTAACAGCAAACTACGAATATTTCTTGTCACTAATACATGTTATTACATTAATTGTTCTTACCTTAAATCACAAAAGATGTTCAAAGTAACTTACTTGTGCTTGCAGGCAACTTCACATCTCGTTAACATGTTTTGAAATACTCGACGAAGCTCTTCTTGGGAAATTGCCGAATATTTTCTTTAAGTGCTTCTGCAGTGTGTCGATTGTTTACATAAACTTTGTTCTTCAGTATGCCCTACAGGTAAAAATCGCACAGGTTCAAGTCTGAGGAACGCGGAGACCACTGATCGATAACTTGTTCACCAAGCACTTCTCTTAATGCTAACATCGACCGGTCAGCTGTGTGAGCTGTAGCACTGTCTTGCATGAAGAAACCATAAGTCTTTTCTTCATCGGTCATTTCTTGGAAAAATGGTCTAACTATTAAATTTACATAACGTTCACAATTTATCTGCACACTGTAGAAGCACTTAAAGAAAATATTCAGCAATTTCAAAACATGTTAACGAGATGTGAAGTTGCCTGCAAGCACAAGTAAGTCACTTTGAACATCTTTTGTGATTTAATGTAAGAACAATTAATGTAATAACATGTATTAGTGACGAGAAATATTCTTAGTTCGCTGTTACTAGCGGCACTGAAACTAATTCGCCAGTCACCCACCGGAAGAACGCGCACAACTCCCGCTCACATCAACACAGCGCCGGCCGACCATGCAATGCAAGCATGACCACAGCCTCATAAATTGTAGACCCGGTATGTCTACTTATATAATAAGCACTTTTTTAGAAAAATTAGACAATCTGATTTGGTTTCATGTAAAACAGAGGTTACACAAAACTGGTAGGGATGAATATTATTTTTCCTAAAAGTTTTAACGTGGACCTTCAACACCAAATTTAATTAAAAATCTACAGACCAGTTTCAGAGAAGAAACATGTGGATGTACATACATGGTTTCTCCAAGATTCATTAATTTTATATAGAAAAAAATTGTAACTTACCCAAAGAACTCACTGAGAAATGTGTGATAGACCAGTGGTGTGAGCAGTGTGAAGTAGATGCATGTCGTTACATCCACAATGCAAAGCCCCTCTCCAATACTGTAGTTTAGAAGGCCACTGCCTATAGACTGAGTAAGGTACAGCATGACCAGGAAAAAAATATACATGTAGAATGAACGCTTTGCTGAAAGAAAGAAAAATCTAATTACTACACAATTCTAAAATGTTCTTGATATGTAAAATTTGTTACCCACTGAATTTTCTCTTTTACAATCAGATGTAGTTGGTTCAATGTTTAAACACAATTGATCAATATTTCACAAACATATTAATGTATTCTTAATTTCCATCATGAATTTCAGAATGTTTGTTTCCTTACAAATCTAATTATCTCCATAAAAACATGGCTCAGTAATGTACATTTTTCACCTTCTCTAATACTTTAATTGAATCATGATCTTTCCTTATTCCTTTTTTATTTTGCAGTCTCCTTTTAATACTCCTTAGCTCTTCACCCATACTTTTGTAAAATTTCCCTTGTACTTTCCTCATTTTTAATTTATATTTTGTAAGTCCTCATTTTTCATAACAAGATTATGACGGGAAAACAATGCCTAACAATGAACACAATACTGAAGATTCAAAAATATACTTACTAGGTAAAGCTAATCGTTCTCTTAATCTTGTCCACGGTAAAATTAATATGGTGAGGTATACCTAAAAAAATAAAATAAAAATAAAATGCATGAAAAGAAGAAAATGGAGGAATGATATGGTTAATTTCAAAATAACAATCACTATTTAATTTCCTTACCGCTGTGAACACAACAGAACTGACAAACCAGAACAACATTCCTCCATGGCCAAAAAGATCATAGTCTTTGGAATAAACATGGAAAATTTCATCAGGTGAAACTATTTCCAGAACACCCTGAGTAATAGTAAAGGCCAGCGAAATTAAAGATGTTGCAAGCAGCACATAACGAATACTGCTTCGGCTGTCCAGGTGGCCTACAAAACAAAACACCAGCAATAGTGATCACATCTCTACAAACTTTAGAATATGTCATTAGGGAAGTTCGAGAAAAGGAGGCGAGAGTGGAACTGATTGGGACACATTAACTCCATTTGATAAAAACAAACACAACAAATAAAAACAACAAAGCTCTATTAGATGCTAGTAAGATTGTTGATCCAAAAGCAAACAAAGAGATAACTAAGTGTGGTATGTTCATGTCTCATCACAAAGTTCTATATCATGCAACACATTTGTTACAAAATGTATGAAATCCATTAAATACTTTTCTGAAAATTATCAGCCTGTAATCTCCACACAGCAGAATTACATCCACATTTGTCTTTACTTAGTGCCATCACTGACAACAAAGAAAGCATGTATATTGCCTACGGTTCAAAATTTGTGTAGAATGGTCATAGGCTATCTGCCATTAAATGGAAAAAAAATGTTCACACAAAATAGGTAAGAAATTCAGTACACAAAAGTTTAATTGTTAATGCTTTGAACAGAAGATGGCATGAAAAGAGTTGCTGACTGAATAATAACAAGCATTTCTGAAATTATTTACCTAGTTATTTCATAATAAGGTTTGTTGTTGTTGTCTGTTACAGTTATCCCAAGATATTTAAATTTTAAATATCTTATTCTGAAGCACAATACTTACCAAATGCCAATCCAAAAATGACTACACTCAGTTCCATGGCAAGCAGAAAAAATCGTACAGAAATCCAGAGCCCTTTATCAACATAACCTCCAACTACAGCAGAAGCATTTACTGTCATAGAAACAATGCAACGAATCACACTGATCACAACGTTCACAACCACCTATAACAAGAAACACAAATGCTATGTTCCAAAAGACAAATCTGTTTCCTTTGGCACATATTTGTAGTAAACTAAATGGATATATTCTGTCTCACTATATCATGATATTATTTCACAAGATCAGAATCCTGTGTGTCTATAAAATGCTTCTATATGGTCCTTAGAACAGAAATGAATCTGTAATTGAATCCCCCTTCCTTAAGGAGTAAGTTTCATAACTAACTGCTCTCTCTGTACTGGATGTAATACTTAAGGAATGAAAATGAATGAATGTAAGAAAGGCATACACCATGAAATTGTAACACACAAAATTCACATACAGAATAATACAATTAAAAAGTTATGGGATGAAAGTATTCAGTGCCATCATTTATACATATTCTGACACTGAATACTGATGACTGAACAAAAACAATTACTGTTAAGAGTATAATTTATGGTATTATAGGAATTGGTATACTTTGAAATGGTCCCTTTTTGCACCAAATAATTCAACATTGTTTTTTAATCTCAAATTCTCTAAAACTTTTACAAAAGCTGCCCTGTCAACATAAGTGTTTAGATTTCAAGTTACAATGATGTTCCCACTATAAAGATTTCATTTCCCACAGCTGTGTTAAGATATAACCCAACTGTTCTAATGACATCTTATCAATGATATGCTCTTCTATGGCAGTTACTAAGTTTCTACTACACTTCCAGACTTACTATAGATATTTTGTAAAAGAAAAAAATATATGCAATAAAATAATTGCACACCAAAATAAAGTAACTAAGTTGCTTATACAACAAGAGTTTATCTGAAAAGTGCACAGGTAAACCAATTTTCCAAATGCTAATGTTAATTTGGAACTCACAGCTAGAAAAATGCAATAAATACAATGAATCGTTTAATTCACTGCATTTTGATGCCTTTAAAACAGCCCATATTTAAAAGTTTTATTCATTTCCAACATCTGGCAAAACATTTTTAGGTGAAACTATATTTATATTTTCCTTTAAAGTACTGTAGGAACTAACTTGCAAGAAGGAACTGAAGAAGAGTGTAAAACTATTTTGTGGCTGTTACCAACAATTCAGAGGAGCGTATCACTCACGTCTTAAGGTTTTCATTATGCTCTTCAGATTTGTGACACTGTGAAGCCTTGTAGGTAGTTACCAGTATTCCACAATGTTGAAAACAGTGAAAAAATGTAATTCAAACTGGAGTTCACAAATTTCCCAGGTGTCTTCTTTGTGAAAAATAGAATCAATGTTGGCACATTTTGATTTGTATTAATGGGTTTCTGGACTTTGTCCATTGTCTAGTACTCCAAATAGAACACAGCGTTCAGGAAATTGTATCTGATGAGCCTTGTGAGACTAGTTCTTTCTAACTGACCCAACTGAGTATGTACTCCCTATCTTTTCACCTAAGAAAAGCAACAGACTCACTTTCCAAAATTTGTGTTCTGTTCAGAATACAATACAATGGACAAAGTCCAGAAACCCAGTACTAGATCAATATGAATCAAAATAAAATTCAATGACAAATTTAGCATAGAATCACAATACCATATTTAAAAAAAAGTCAAGAATGAGCTGTAGCTACCAGCACCACTATGGCATTTAGTGGGATAGGTTTAGTTTTTGCTATCTGAAAACAATTCCAGAACATTACTGCTACTCCAATATTCTTGGTAATAGGTGCACATATTAGAAGCGTAAATTGTAATCAAAACAATGTCTAAGTTTCATATTAAAAAATGGTCCTTCAGAGCTATTCATTATAAACTCACCAGTCCATAGAATGTGAGGAAGATGGGGCTACTAGTAGCACGTAGCTTTAAACGTGCTCTGTTGAACCTCAATGCAAGAAACAAGAGAAACAAAAAGTTTGGAACCAGAATGATTACATCCCAAATTCGGACTCTGAAAGTATACAGAAGTAGGTGTACATAATATCAGCTATGATCTTCTATTACTACTAACAATAACAGAATATATGTCTTAACAATGCAACTTATCCATCTACAAACCCATTAACAAGCAAGAAAAAAAAATTATAAATTGCATGAAACCAAACAACATTCTGGCAGATTAACCCAAAGTTTTACACCACCAATAACAACCCACGACTGAACATAATGCTGAGCCAGACCCCTCACATAAACTCTGTATGCATCCTTGTCCGCCATCCTAACTACATACTTAACCCATCATGGTCTCTTTCTTCAGCACTGACAATATGACATCTGTATAAATCAGGGCTGTAGAGTCGGTACTAGAATCTCCAACTCCAACTCTGACTCTGATTCCTTCATAAAAGCTCAATATGTATTAACAAGTGTAAACCTACTAAAATGGTAAATGGCACCATAAGAGATTTCATCACCACCACGTGAATCATCAGCCTAATTTTTAGACTTATAATCTATATTTAAATATATGTCTAATTGTTACTGCAGAAATCGGTTGATTTGTACACAGTTTGTATTCTTAAGGTACCGGAGCCAAAGTTACAAAGCATTATTCCCACACCACGTGGCTCAACACGTCGTTGAATCTCATCAGGCTGCCGGCGGCTCACACGGTATAGAAATTGTTCTTAAGATTTTATATCGAGGTAGGAGTCGGTACATTTTTACTGATTCTGACTCCGACTCCACAGAAGCTTTTCCAACTATGAACCCTATTTATGTTTTTATCTTTGGAGTGTAGGTGGTGTAATACATACAAAGTTAAAGCAACACTTTGCTCAAGAGACAAGAAATGAAAAACAGTTCAGACAAGTCACAGTTGCCATATATTTTGCAGTCAGTTTGTTGTTAAGTATGGATCTCCATGTACTGTTCATCTCTCTTTGGCACAGATATTTTTCTGAGCACTCATAATTTCAAGCATTTGTAATTTGTTTTTTCCCTTCAAAGTAAGAGACCACAAAAGATGGAAGTTTTCAATGTGGATTTAATTTCAATTTGTTAGTCTTGTTGTGAAATACTTAAATTCTGAAACATTCTTAAATTATTTACTACATATAGTAATTATGATGATTCTGATGTAGATTTTTGTTTCATATCATATTGACATATTTACTTAAATAAGAATTACCTGGAATTACTAATTTCAATGTATAAAATTAATTTGCAAAAGTGCTCCTCTTCTATGGGTACAAATGGCTTTGTAGTATTTGGATCAAGGCTTGTTACAGAAGTTGACGAAGCACCTTCTGCCATACCGTATTCATTAGCCACCAACATGAGTCAAGATACTGTTCCAGTCTGTGAAGAGGCCAAATGCAAAATACATAGAGCCACTCACTACTCCTGTCCCATGACATGAAGATTGGCAAGAACTGAAAACATACAAAGAATCTCTACACACAATTTGAATACAGAACAAGTTCTTAGTATATGAAAAATACCAATACATGAACTGTCAAGATTTTCCAAGACTTTTTTAAATACTACATAACACCTTACTTGTTAATTAATTGCTCATTTTACAATATTTTATAATTTTTAAAATGACAAGTTTAAGAAATATGTGTGCAGGGTTTACAAAGAAGAAATTACATACAGCCAGGCAAATATTATATATTACATTAAAGATTATTTCCAATAATACATCCTTACAATGTAAATGGAAACAGATTCTATGGCATTACACATATCGTAATTATAGATAAAAAAGTCCCATAAACATTTATTTGGTGAAGTATTTAGCAAACAGCTGTTCCCTAATCAAAAAATTACAAGCACTGTAAATACTTTTGTACTCTTACGATGAACATGGTCTGTTTTACATTCACATCCACAGATCTGACACAATTTACGCTGGTATAAAAGATTTCTATTTAACGAACGGCTAAACACACAACAAAAGGCATGGCTAGAAATTAACTTATGATGGACTAAAATTAGGTCAAACAGACTTTTTTATTTACCTCTGTGCGTAATCATTCCAAAGATAAAATTATGTGCTTCTGCCAGTGTCAAAATTACATACACATCAAATACTACGTTTTCCTTATACGCACCACCTACTTCAACATTTCCTTAACTTTCACACTAACGTCACGCACGATGTATAATGTCAAACTTATGCCATCTCAGTATCATGGTGTTGCTATATAGCAAGGGAAGATTTCTACAAAAAACATTTTTTTACTTAAACTAGCCAACACCGATCTTATATTATCCGTTCTACTAGGCAGGACAATGAATCAGGTGAATCAAAGAAAGTATGCGTGCTATGCATCTTTACGTATATGACCACCAAATGATATAGAACAAGTAGTAGTTCCGACGAGAGAATCACATTGTACATTCAGTTCAGTGGAAAATATGGATGACGTAGTCATGGAAAACTAAATACAACAAAATGTTTGCATCGTGTTTAAAATATATATTAGCCTGCTCATAAATAAGAGTACAATAATAAGGAAGCCAAATATGAGTAATGAATTCGTGTAAAGTATTCTTTCACATATGATATGAACATATGATGTAGACCATAATTGCATGGCTACTTGTAAATGGCTTCAACAGTTACTCCTGACCACATTTTCTATTTTCTGTGATTTTATGGAAAAGTCTGAATAATGTACAGGAGAATGATGTGCACATTATAGTGGTATTTTATAGTGCACATAGCTCTTTTTCCAGAAATCGCTTACTCACAGCACTTTTGCTACAAATCGCGAGGGGGTATCGTACTGTATTTGTGCTATGACACATTCTACATCTTTGCCTTGAGCCATTTAAGGATCTATGGAATGTAAACATATTTTATTGTATTCTATCGATATGGAAATCTTGTCATTTCAATATCCCGTCATTCGGAGATTAGTCTTTGTACGTAGCAGTTTAAACAAAGAGACCAATATTACACCTCCGACTGCAAGTGGTAGATATCCTCTTTTTTAGTACATGGATTAAAACCACAATCATCCCAGACTGCTAAAATAGAGCACATCCGCTGAAGAGGACATTGAATACGGAATTTACACACGAGTGTGCTTTTCACCAGTTACATATATACCAATGTTCCATCACATAATGAACAGACACAGTTCGCTTCTGGGGTGTGAAGGTATCCTTTCTTGTAGGGTAGTTCCTCGGAGCTGGGAACTATCCACTCCTTCACTAGTCAGCGAAATCTTGTTCTCTTTATTGTAATTTGTAGTGGATAACACAGAACAGTTTCAAAAAACTTGGATACCCACAATATAAGTACAAGATATAGATATAACTTTCATATGCCAAACATTAAACCCAGTAAATATTGAAAAGGAGTTTACTATACTGGAGTTGTTATTCCGTAATCTCACCCACTAAAAAAATTCTGAATCCCGATAAAAGGAAGTTAATGCCTAAACTAAAAGAGTGTTTCTTATCTCTTTCCTTCTTCTCCATTAAAAAATTTACCTGAACAAAATAATCTCAGCTATGTATGTGTGCTGGTGATACTTTCTTGTATAATTATTTTTGAATTCCAAGCAGGTATTGTATTTGTGCCATGACATGTTCTACATCGTTGGTTTAAGCCTATGAAGGATCAACGGAACGTAAATTTCTCTTAATTTCTTCAGTGACTTGTGCCAGAAGAAATGAGCCGTAAGAGAGTAAGCACAACTTTGATCTCGTTTACCAGAGAGCCAAGACATCGGAACTAAATGATGAATGATACCTGGCCGTTCAGTGGAACATATAGATCGTGAAGTAATTTTATTCAAGTGCTAGTCGCAGCTAACTGTCTGCTGTCTTGGGGACATGTGCAACGTATCACATCTTGTGAACTTACCGAATTATGTCGATTATAATTTGTTTCCACAGAGTTACATTCCTGATAGTGTCTGAACAGGACACTCTGTGGAAAGCGTCTACCATCGTCCGATAATCCGTGACCAGAAGGATGTAACATAGATGATAAAAATATACTTTAGCAAAGGCAATAAAAGTCTATCGTACAGCTGTTAGGTGGTTATTGGTTAGAAACCCCAATGCTGTTTTGCGGAGTATGGTTGTTGGTGTATGCCTGTGCTAATGTATGCTGCGATATTTAGGAATTTCTTGGATAGAATATGATGTTCCCATACTTAATAGAGAAGAAAATGTTGACATGTACTTGACTGAAATATTGTTCAAAGTACTGATGGACGAAGTGTCTGTGTAAACAGGCCTAATTACTGGAAGTGTTATTTCCATTGTAGACAGGAAGCTTTCACAATGGGCGAGAAAACTGTTCGTAAAATGATAACGCGATTCCATCCTTATCATGGTGGGAACATAATTTTGTACGACGATAATACAGTAGCGTATCGGAAAGCAAGTTTTGCTAATGCTCTTACTTTTAGTGAGAAGCCTTTGCTTCCAGGAGAGATTTTTCTGTTGGAAATTGAAAAGAATGAAAGGGGTTGGAGTGGACATATGCGTTTGGGTTTGACTCAGATAGATCCTCAGGCAGCTGCTGCTGGTATGCGTGGTTTACCTCAGTATGCATTACCAGACCTTGCTAACATGGGTACATCATGGATCTTTGCTATCACAAAGTCTCATAATAATGTCTGTGAATGCAGAGCTATAACAGAAAGCTCAAGGAATGAAGAGGCATATCGGAGGGTCCTGGGTGATGGTCATAATGTGCGTACTTCACGGGGCTCCATACCCCGCAGTCTTCTACGTCCTTCACCATCTAGCCCTGCTGAAGACATTCTTCCAACAGATGTTGGTAGTCGAATAGGTGTTGTTTATGTTCCAAGCTCTAATCATGGTGAAGGAGACTATGCTGAAATGCACTTTATCATTAATGGTGAGGATCAGGGGCCTTGCACCAAGGATATACCTTATAAGGAAGGTCCTTTACATGCAGTAATTGATGTGTATGGCACAACAAAGCAAGTGAGAATAGTGCAGCTTTATGGAGGTAATTTATTTCAGTTTGCAACATAAACTTCCCTTTGAATATATGATATAGTTAGACTGAATGCTGTTAGATTTCCTTTGAACATGACTGCCAGATTGCTGTTGGATGTAACATAAATTTTAAATTGTTGGTCAGTGAAGTCATGCAAAATGAAATTAGTTAATGTTTTTATCATCTGGAATTATTTATTCAGAACTGTACTCTTTGAATGTTATTCCAAAAATGTTTGTTTCCGAATCATTGGTAACCTACCTATATCTTTCATGCATATAAATACTGTTGTTTGGAATTTTATATTATTTCATGTTTAATTTCAGTGGCAACATTACAGAGTGCTTGTCGTGATGCTATCCTGCAACATATCACCAAGACAGCTGTTTCATCTCTGCCCCTACCCAAGATGCTCAAGGAATATCTTTTGTACCAGTCTTGAATTGTAGAATTTCACCTTGCTTTGTGTGAATCAAGTTAATTTGTGTACAAAGTGAATTCTGTTCTTTGCATTTCATTTTTCACCTTGCAAAAAGACATGTAAAAGGAAGTGAAACTAGTCATTGGACAGTTAGATTGGCAGTGATAAGGCCTAAATGGAAGATAGTAGACTGGCTGAAAGCTAGTGTTATTGCTTGTTTTGAAGTCATGAAATAATACTCATCTTGTGACATGCATTATCTCAAAATGTTGAGCATGGCAGAATTCAGAATTACAAAATGTGAATTTATATGAGTCTCTACATTTCTGTTGGGAGTTCCATCACATGATTCCATAATTATTTAAATACAAGTATTGCCCAATACAACATTTTTGGTGATAAAATAGCAAAATCATGAACTTTGTTATACTAAGAACTGATGTGAATGGAAGTGTGTATTGCCCGCAGTAAGAATTTCTGCAGGATTTTCAATTTAAACCCTAATCCAATTTTTTTTCATTACAGTGTGTGTATGTTACCTACACACATTCTCCTTCAGTCTTGTTACCATACAAAATTGTTTCCTTTTTTCAGTGTTTAGAGTTGGGTGACTTTCCTGATTGTGATCAGTGATTTGTATCACCAATTTTCACTAGTAAACTTTGTGTTGAAAATATAATGACTGAAGTTGTAAATTTATTTTGTGAATTTAAAAGGAATAATGCTGGTGACACAGTTACTCTAAAAAATGGCATGTTCCAGATTTAGCTGTGTTGTGACACAACACTGGAACCAAATTCTGTAAGTATTCCTTACTCATCACTGCTCAAATTACCACTTGTCTTTGTTGAACTAGTGTATGGCATAGTTAAAAGGGCTGAATATAAAGTAATGATATATCCACATTCAGGGTGTACAAAATAATTATAATGTTAAAGCAAACTCTAAATCTGAACCAATATTAATAATATAGTTCAGCTATTTTATTTAATTTTTAATTATGACACCCGACAGGAACAATTTCTTGAAGAACTGTGTGAGCTGTTTCTTACTGACTGAAGTACTGTTTCGTGTTACTGAAGGAAAAATATATCAATTCAGCAAATATACATAGTGTTTTACAACCAATCTGCCATATATGGGGGTAATTTTGAGTACAATAATGTTAATTGGTCCTATTTCTAGCCATTATGATGCCGTGGTGGTTTGAACATGTGTACAAGGAAAAATAAATGAGTATTAGATTAATTTATTGCTATATTTTATGAGACAGCTTATAGTTCAGAATGTCTTCTACAGTTATTGATTGACAGTCTTTCTCATTTACTTATGATTGAATGTGTTTTTGTATGTAAGCAGCAGCATCCATAATCCAATGCAGGAGTTCCTATCTTGTGTGTATTTTGGTCCTGGAGGTTATATCTTTCATTAGGCCCCATAAAAATAAATCAAGTACAGTTAAGTCTGGAGATATGGGCAGCCAAGGTATTGGGCCAGGATGACCAATCCAACGATTTTTGTAATTCTCACGTAATCCATAATTTGGTGACCAAAAGGTGCCCCATCATGCTGAAAGAAGATGCTGACTCTTGCCTCCAGTGGCACTTAGGCCTTTCATCATGATTGGTCCAATCACACTGTACTGAAAATCCAGAGTATCAGAATTAAAATGTTATTTCAGCAGTACCATGAGGATTATCATCAGAACATTAGTGGGAATTTTCTGGCACATGTTAAGCAGTTTTGTCTCAAAATCTTTTTGTCCCAGCCAAGTTCACTCCATGATTTCTAACATGTGGTTTTTGACTTGTTTGAATGTACAGAAACTTATTAAAAAATATATATAACCACTGAAGAAACATGGGCCTATGGTTATGACTTGAAAACTTTGTAGCATGTGTTACAATGAAAATCTGCTTCCTTACCACAGCAAAACCAAAAAGGATGTTCAGGATTTTTATTGTTTTCAGTTACAAGCATTATTTGCAACATAACTATACTTCACAAAGTCAGACTATTAATCAACAATTGTATTTATAAATGTTGAGACATTTCCACAATTGGAGTACATCAAAAACAGTGCCGAGGTCAAGAAAGAGAGGAGCTACACCTCCACTCACCCCAAGTGACTGTATGGCACATAGCCGGACAAACTTACTTACTTATTTAATGTACATAAGCAGTAGTTTATCACCTGCACAAATATTGTGTCGCTACTGGACTTTAGCAAGTAAGGAGGCATAAACTGCATTCTGAAAACATCCTCAGCCTAATGAATGTTAGCACACAAACCAATACTATTCTTATGATAAATAGTTGAAGTTTGTGCAGAATTTGTATTTTCCTTCTGGTCTCTAATTTCCCTTTCTCTCATTTTAATGGTCATCACCTGCAGGTGTATGACAATTCTACTTAAAATCCCATTTGTGTGAGACCAGCAGGCAATATGTTTATTATAAAATTATGGGTTAACATTTTTTTGTGTTTATGTGTACTTGAGGAAAAACTAACTTAAAAACGTGTGTGGCTTATACATGCACACAGCTTATAATCATGTAGATACAATATATTAAAAATACTTGTCAATGAAATATCATATTCTTAATATACTTGTGAAAATTGTTAGCAAGAATTTTGCTTATCCCAGTCTGTTTTTGCAATAGCAAATAATCTACAATTAGAAATAAAAACTTTTGCTTCCCGTGCGCTTAGATCAGAAGCCAGCACAAACAATTTGCCAAATATAATATGCACTTTCTATGACAATGTCTGAAGGAGGATGCATTATAATTTGTAAAGATATTATTTTTGGACTCTGTCCATCTTCTAAATTACTCACAGCTAGGGTTTCTGTCCTTTCATGTTCATCAAAAGATGGAAGAAGATCCAGCTTCTGAAATATTAAGTGATGACAAAAATGAAGTTTGGGTTGGAAAAATGTGCCACAACTTCTTTAAAAAATTGCACTGTTCATGAAAAACAGCACATAGAAACAATAGAAAATGAAATTATAGAAATTACAGAACTGATGAAAACATAAGTATCTAGGTATAGAAGAGAACCATAATAGAGAACATAAAAATGAGAAAGAAGAGTTGAAGGACTAAGGAGACTGATACTAAACACAGAGCTGTGTAAAAAAGTAATAATAAGAAATAAAATATAACCAAATGCAACATTGGTAGTACCAATACTAAGATATGCCTTTAGCATTCTGTACCGGCATAAAAAAACAAACAAACAAACCCACCACCAACAACAAAAAAAACAAACAAACAACACACACACACACACACACACACACACTATAGATGCACAGCATCACAGAGCTGACAGTAATAGCTTATATAGTAACAGAAAACAATGAGGAAGAAGACTGATGCAAGTGAAAGGAAACTACATCACAGAAACCATTTAATTGTGGCTCCAGTGACCATCACTATGATGCAAATTCGCTGAATTAGAAATTCAGTGAATGTGACACTGAAACTGTAAAAAATTAAGAACTGAAAACAATACCAGTAAAGTATCCAAGATATTCTCTAAAAGACCTGCCGTAATAGAAACATCAAATGTTAGTGCTACAATGAGAAAACTGAGGCCTGAGTGGTGTTCAAGGGGCAAAAGTACAAGGAAAGAACTGTGTAATAAGTTTTATCTGACAATAAAATCGCAACATCTTAACCACGCCAATTAAAACTACTGTTGTCGGTACTTAAAAATGCAGACACCTGCGATGAATAATGAAACATTACAGCAAGAAAATCACGCAGTTTTCGATCCACAGCAGCTAAAACTGACTGAAGATCGTGTACATTGGGTTCTAAATTATTCCATGAGCGAGTACATCGGGGGAAGAAGAAGAAAAAAGAAGAGAAAGAAAGAGAGAGAGGAAGAAGAAGTCAGTCAAAATGTAACAGCAATGGGCATACGCCCTAACTTTCATAAATCCATTAATGTCCCGCAAACATCCAACGTGCTTAAAAGTCCACAGGCACAACTATTATTGGACTTCTCAGCTGTTCTACACGTGTACTCCCTCACACCCTAGGAAACATTTTGTATCACGTGATTTCGCTTTGTCTGGAAACTGCGCAGCAAACCATAATAAACAAGATGGCCGACCCTGAGGCTGCGTCGTCGAGTGGAGAACAAACAGATATTCAAGAAAATGAGAAAGCTGAAGAGTTTATTGAACCTGAAAAAAAGCGACAAAAATTTTGCAAAATAACTGATGTAAAATCGGATAAACTTGAACAAAGGTTGGGTGGAATATTGTGTTGCGCTGTGTGTTTGGATCTTCCCAGGGCTGCAGTCTATCAGGTTCGTTCTTTCAGTCAGCTGATTGAAACAGTTACTATGATTGACAGACGTGATTTAACAATTAATACACATCTATTGAACTTACTACCTGCTAAAATTTATTATTGGCTGTCTGTTCGTATCTTATGAAATAACTTCCTACTAGTACTTAGTTTTTCTTGAACTCTTCTTTTTCTTCAGAGAAAGCGTTATCTTTTTCATTCCTGAGAGTTTTCTTACACGTGCTTAAATTTTGCCCTGCTTTTGGATAACATAAAAAATCTGAACTGCTTAATACAATGCAGTTAAATTTTTATATATAGTTGATATTAGAACACACTTGTATTCTTGGTGTTGTTTCATAATTGTTATTAACTCAGTGTTAAACACTCAGAGCATATTTATGGGTGTTGTGTGATTTTCAGAGTCATAAATAATTATCTCTTTAAGTAACATTAACCAGTTGGATTTTGTGTTGTAGGTGCATTTTCGTTTATTTAAAATGGGAACTGAATTTAAGTATTATTTAGATGACAAAGGGTTAATGCAGCAAAAAATATTTGACATTCAAAAGAAAACCATCAGAATAATGGCAGGCAGTAAAAGGAGAGCCTCAAGTAGGGAATTGTTTAAAAAAAAATTAACATTCTCCCACAAGCCTGTGAAATCTTGCTATCATTATCATCATTTGTAGTGCACAACATAGAATAATTTCAAACAAACTTGGATATCCACAATATAAATACAAGATACAGATATAACCTTCATATGCCAAACACTAAACTCAGTAAATATCAAAAAGGAGTTTATTATACTGGAATTAAGCTATTCTGTAACCTTCCCCCACTATAAAAAGTCTGAATCCTGATATAAAGAAGTACTAAAAGAGTGCCTCTTCTCTCCTACTCTGTTGAAGAATTTACCCAAGCCAAAAATTATCAGCTATTATAAATATATGTACAGTTGAAATCATTTATAATGAGCACAGTTATAATGAGATCTCAGCTATTGTGAGCAAACAAAGAAGAGTCGGTTGGAAATGATGTATTTTGTGAGCAACATTTTGCGGTTAAAGCGATTACAGTAGTTGAGAGCTTCATGGGTATAACGAGCAAATCTTTAAGTGGTGAGTGTCTAGTTAACATAGTGTCGAGCGCAGAGGCACAGACTGCTTTAAAAACTCTGAATTATGAAACCAATGACATCGATCTCAAATTTTGATTTTATCTCAGTAAAATGAAAGATATTGCTCATAAATTTCACGTTAAAAGAAATTTGAAATTAACGACATTGGAAGACTTTTTAAAAAATACAAATAATGCATTCTATCAAGGCTTTGTGCTAAGACATGTTCTACGTTCTTGGCTTAAGGCCATGAAGGATCTGTGGAATGTAAATAAATTCTATTCTTTTGTATTCTGAGGACACAATTTGTCAGAATCATTAATTTCTGTCATGGCACACTACTGCTTCTTTGTGTATATGCATCAGCTGGTTTGTAAGTTTCTCTTACTGTTATAGAAAAAAATGAATGTAGAATGTGTCATATGCCCATTCATTAAGAATATTATTTTACACTTCATATAAATATTCAGTAGGGACAACATTAGTATTTATTCAAGCTTGCATACTAACAATTCAGTTTTAACTGATAAGTGGAAACATTAGTTTGGCATATTTTTGATCTATCGTGAAACTAATGCCCATGGAGTGGAGTACATTATAAAAAACTGATAATCTCACAAGTAGTCAAGAAATTCCCAATTTTCATAGAACCCAAGTGTTCATCACTGTATTCATAATTGCCTGGTACCAATCCCTATCTTCAAACAGATGAATCCAGTCCATGCCTTATTTTCCTAAGATCCATTAGTATTATCTTCCCATCTATACCCAGGTCTTCCAAGTGGTATCTTCCCTTCAGGCTTTCCAACTGAGGTTCTGTACACATTTTTTACCTCCCTTTGTACATGCTATATGCCCTGTCCATCTTAACCTTGATTTGAGTATCCTAACAATATTTTGTGAAGAGTATAAATTATGTAGGTTATTTTTCCTCTAGCTTCTGCATCCAGACCAGTTCTGGGGCCCACCCAACCCCCTATCCAATGGGTACTGGGGCCCTTTCCCGGGGGTAAAGCATGGCCGGGGCGTGATGCTGACCACTCACCCCATCTGGTGCTGAGGTCAAGAATGAGTAGGAGCTATACCGGTTCTTCCCCCAAGCGCCAACATGGCGTATAGTGGGACAGATTTTTTTTTATTGTTATGCAGTTTTCTCCAGCCTGCTATCACTACATCCTTACAAGATCCAATATTCTCCTAAGCACCCAGTTCTCAAATATCCTAAACCTGTGTTATATCCTCAACATTAGAGACCAAGTTTCAACCCTATACAGAAATGAAGCAAAGTATAATTCTACCTGTGTTATATCCTCAACGTTAGAGACCAAGTTTCAATCCTATACAGAAATGAAGCAAAGTATAATTCTGGTTATTCTAATCTTCAGAGTTCTAGATAGCATACAGCAAGGCAAAATACTGAATTATTAATACAGTGATAAAATTCTGAAAAGAATGTTAAGAACCACTGAACCAACAAATCCTTACATTTAGACTTAACAGAACATTGGAAGATTATGATACAATTCAGACATAATTCAACTACTTTCATCTCCTCTTGGTTTGTAATCCTTTAACAATGAAAAAGCACTTGCATGTTTTTAATTTGTATTTTGTTGTGTAAATAATAAAGGTAAATTCAGAAGTGATCAGTTTTTGCCTGGTATACAAGCTGAGAGATGGTGACAGCCACATAATTACACTTCAGCACACTCCACATACTCCCCACTGAGTTAATACACCACTACCATCTTTCTGATGGATGCAGCAAACAGGCTTTCAGGATAGTACACACTGACTTGGAGACACCATTCTGAAAGTTGTTGTCATTAGGGAACCAGCTGCTGCGCAATGGATTTTTCATCTTGTCCTACAGAGGAAGCCACTCCATCATCAGAAGAATTCCCTCTGCGTATCAGAAGACTGACCATCTGCTTACTAGCAAGCAGGTGGCCAGTCATCTGGGACATGGTGGGCATTCTTCTGATGATGGAGTGGCTTTCTCTGTTTGACAAGATGAAGGATCCACTGTGCTGTAGCCAGTTACCTACAGTGAAAACTTTCACAAGTGTCTGTGAGTCAGTGCATAACTATCCTGAAAAACTTTGTTGCATCCATAAAGTAGTTACCATAGAGATAGCAATGGTCCACTGACATCAGGAGGGAGTATGTGGAATGTTCTGAAGTGTGATTGTGGTGCTGTCACCATCTCTTCTCAGCCTGTTTCAGGTGTGTCCCAATAATTTCTGAATGACCTTCATACAAATGGACCCTACCACACAACCCCTGGTCTTTGATCCCACTGGTATTTGAACCATAACCCATAGACAGTCTCTTTATTAACAAAGCTCCCAAACATAACTGAACACTTGCAGGTAAAAGTGATATTTGATGTTTTTATCCTCATTTCATTGCATAATTTATTTTCTATAATGTTTGAGAACTTTATGTTGATTGAAGCTGTTGGAAGGCCCAAAGTTAGCAGATTCTCACATAACCCATGTACAAGCGCTCATCCCACTGCATGGCAAGTCATACTCAGTTTGTCAAAATCATTAAAAAAAACTTTCTTTTGAAATGGAAGGTGATGGTGGACTCATCAAGTTCAGTAAATTCTGCCTGTCTGGAGAGTAGCTTATGATATGTATTTAAATTCAGATTTACACAGGATGAGATTTAAGTGTAATTATATAAAATGAAAAAAGGCAAACACTATATTTATGTTTTAATTTCCATTACAAGGTATATAATAAAGTACTACAGTCTGCTGTAGTTTTGTGAAGTGTAGTATTATAGGTGATTACCTACCTACATGACGGTATGGTGTGGCATAGTGTCACAAACTAGACTAAAACTGACAATTACAAATTTATTTACTTGTGTTAGTGTAGCAGTTATCAAAGAACTCTCTGAGTATAATTTTTAATTTATTCTAAATGAAATTCCCGATAAAAGAAATACCTATATGACAGTC